AGAAAGTAGATAGACTTAATATCGAGTGAACTAGGTTCATCTAATTTTACTTCTTCTAAAAACTGTATGGAGAACATATGGATGTACTTCTATTGCCATACATATGAGCGAAAATATGTATGTACTCGTATACGAGTAGTAAATTATTTAATTTGATGAGTAGTTGCAATAAAAAGATTTACACAAGATGGGGCAAAAGTTAATTTACTGAGGTCGCTTTTAATCCTCTTTTTTTAGCTCAAATAGAAATTTATGGAGGGTGCTGCCATCCTTTCCAGCTGAGAAGAAATTAAGTGCATGGCTTATAAGCACTTCTGCGTTTAAGTGGAGGTTTTTTGCTCTGTCCACGTCTTCGTGAAGCGCTAATCATGCGCAACAACCGCTGCGCTTCTAATGAAAAAATTAATTTTGGAAGAAATTCGTCGAAAATCCAAAGCGGGTGTGTTCGATCTTTATTTAGCAATTTATAGATGTAATATTAAATTGAGTGGTGATTCTTCTATTTTTGTATCTTAATTGTTTGGTTTTATGGGTTTTTTGTTTTTAGATACTCGTATTTTTAAAAAAATAATAGCGCACACTCCAAGCTGCGGATGCAAAAGTAGTAGCCTTAAAAATGTTTTTGTGCTCGTCTTAATTAAGGGCTTTGATAAATTCACTTTAATTGATTAATTTTGTTGGTTTCATTAATTTATGTTATCGCAACATATATATACTAAGTTTGAATTGTTAATAACAATTAGAACATGAATTTAGCGCGAAATTACATTATTGACGAGGAGTGCCAGTTAAACACACCATAAAATTGTAAATAATTGTCAGAGTTTCAGATACGCTTGATGTGTTCTTTTAGCTCAAGTGAGGTTGTATATATTTGACTATGAGATTAGATTACAAAATGCGTCGATTATTGCAAATTTTGAATAGATTTACATATTAAAGCATAGAGAAAAATAACATCTTTAGTCCATCATTAGTACCTAATTCCACCTTATAGTTAACATGTAGTCACTTAGGGTGCTTAACTTGGGAGTGAAGATGCTGTCGTTAGTTTGGAAAGAATATACTACCAAGATCCACATATCTGCCTTGTAATCGTATAAATAGGTTTAGTATAATACTGACTTGTTAGCTAATTTTATCAGCTAGCTTATCAGCTTGCATTGTCTTTTGTTTATTTGTTAAGCACAAGGAGTATTTGCTAATCATCATAACGCAGTGTTTTGAAATATCTGACGATGTCGTAAAAAACAGAGCGTCCGTATAGTAATTTAATTTAATTACTTAATTTAAAAATAAGTTAATATAAAAATAAACTTAATGTTTGTTATTCATACTCAACTTTTGTTGGAGATTGTTGGGCCAATGGTCAACTGAATGACTGAAGTTTATCCTGTCCTCAACTTGAGCAAAGTAGACTTGCGAACATACACCGATATTAAGTGATGTCACCCCGCTCTTATATGGTCTATCTATTTAAATATTATTTTTTTTTAATTGAACTTCTATTTCTAATACGTCGATGTTTATGTAGGCTTTCAGAAAAATATAAATTTATAGATTTTTTTCGCTTCTATAATAACGCAAAATTTTTATTTTTTTGTTTTTGTGCAAGGAAATTTGCATGAGTTCTGATATAACATAACATTATCATCTATATTTTTCTTCTAATCTTAACTTCTATTAGGCCTTTCTTTGTTCTTCTTATTTACTTTATTTAGCAGTTGGTGCAAGTAGTTGTAGTTATACTGAACCCATTCTTCAAAATGTTGTAAATTTGGACTTAATTAGATTTAGATGATTCCATTGTTTACGATTATCTGTCATAAACGGTGTGCATTTAAGTACAGAAACGTAACATCTAAAAACACGGTTATAATGTTATATTTAGTTGTATTCATTTATCAATTTAAATTTATTTATTTGGTATATCATAAAAATAAAATAATGTTTTACCAGGACACCAAAAAAAAGTTTTTGTATTTGTAGTAGATTAAAAACATGTCGCGGGCCGTACAAAAGTTAGCTGCGGGTCCGCGACAGCCCCGCTCTACACACATATATTAAAAAGTGCAACGGAACCAAAAACATGACGAAAGTATATATTTTATTAATATTAATTAATGTTTATTAATTTGTTCTTATCCTGATGATGAATAGAATATGTCCTATTGAATAAATTTTGTTTTGTAGACCATTTCTTTATTCGAAGTAAATATTTATCACCGGATTATTCATTTGAGGTTTATAAAATTGCTGTGGGAATTGCATGTTAATAGCACCCACTTTGGAGAGAGTTCAGTAATGCACTTTGTATAATTGACTACCTTTATCATCGACACTACTCGCTGAAGAGGGGGTGTTTTAGTTCGTATACTACATATTAATGTTAGGGAATCGGACACACCATTCCACCTCTTCACCACAAAAAAAAAATCATCCACTCTACTACTATACTATCTTGAAGAGAGAGCAGTTTTTCGTTATTAGTTTGGATTAGGTACATAAAATTTTTGCTGTGATTCGTTTCTTCCTTCTCGATGAATATTATACCATACATGTTTACAATATAGATGATATATAGTCATTCTGGCGAGTAGAGATGCTATTCATGTTATTACAGCTATTAATTGGTAGGAATACATTTATTTTAAGTCGATATTTTTAAAACCTTTAACAGATCTATCTGAACGTATACAATTAACAGTGTATTGTGTTATTATTTAGAGTGTATGAGTATGGCACATATATACATTTGTATAAGTAATGTATTTAGTATCAAATACCTCTTTTCAACTAGATTGTTGAAGTTAAAGATTTATTTCTTATTTTCCATTATACAATATAGTACCTTAGTTTATTTAAAACATGCTAGTTTACCGTTTCTATAAATTTGGAGTAAACAAGTAGCAACAATTTGAAGGGCGATGAGTTGATCATGCCATTAAACCGTTTCTCCAAATTTATGGAAGCAGTTTACAATTATTGTTTTAAAGGCAGGGGCGGATTAAGACGATTATGTTTCATATATATATTCAAATACATTACATATGTAATTTATGCAATATTTTGAGATAAAACATTTTTGTCAACTTAATCAAAACTGAAGACAACAATCGCAGCAAATCCAGAAGATAAATTTTAAATTGATTTCTTCGTGAAATTTTAAACAAGTCAACGACTTCATATATTTATTAAATTATTTGTTCTGTTAATTTGAGGTTCTTATCTTTTTGAGATAAAAAATTATATCTGTTATTTTGTTGTACTTTAAATCGCAAGTAATTCAAAACAAAAAGGTGCAATTGCACTCAAAGTAATAAAAGTCGTCGCATTTGCAAGTTATTAATTTTTTTGTGATTTTATAATGTTTGTGACAATAAAAAACTGGGTCTGTGGTGAGATATATTTTTATAATTTTCCTTGTAACAAAGAACACAAAAACAACATTTAAATAAAAAATTTAAATTTTTTTATTTTAATTTTTATTTTGAATCTCGCTAATCAATATTAATGCTTCAATATATTCGTATCTTAGCAAACCACTCACTCATAAATACTAAATGTTCCTGGAGCTGGAGAGCTGGAAAGTATTGAAGAGATTTGGAAGACATTGTTTTTTATAAATAAATAAATTAATATTGCAATATAAATCTTTCGGTATATAACTCTTTCTTTATTTCTAATCTTATCCAGTTTTGATTTAATTGAATCGTTCCGGTTTCATTCATAAATGTTTCGTGAATTTAATTCCACAGTTTCAAGACCGTTCTTGCTGCTGTGGCAGGAAGATTTTGCACACGATTATAGCTACCAGTTGGAGTAGATATTCCATTAACGTGCGAATTCATGCTGTTTAACAGACTTACCAACACTGGTTACAGGCTCCTTGGGGAGGTGTGCAGATCTGAGGTCAATTATTAGTCTGATGAAGTGATAAAGAATAATCATAGTCAAGGCGTAGAGAGGTGGGTTTTGAAGATATCTCGAGTTAATAAAGAGTAGAAGTGATCAAGTGCACTGGCTCAAATAGCTTTAACATTGTAATTTAGGTTGATGAGTGAGTGACAAGCTCATAGTGTTGCTAATTTCTTGCTTGGTATTAATTATGATTCCATGTGTTCCGCTCTTGTTTCTGTGCATCTTAGTGCGTTATCTTAGTATATATTCCAGTGACTCAGTTTTTCCATTGCAGAATTTGTACATAAGATTTGATACAATACCTTTATTGCCCAAATACGAGTACTCATTGATCCTATGATTGCCTATATTTCAATACACATCAATGTCCCATAGGTATACCTACTTTACTTTCTGCTAAGCATAATGACGTAAAGTAATAGCTTGAAAAGCTTATAAAAGTTTGAACTGACTAACTAGCTAACTTAACTAAATGTTTTTGGTTATTTTATAGAAGATGGACGGCATAAAAGGACAACATGCGGTATGTAAACTTAATAAAACCACTTTTTGGGGCTTAAAAATGAAGATACCTGTTATTGGGATCATGAATAAGAGACTCAAAATAAATAGTTTAAACGTTAATAAATAATAACTTGTCTAAGCAAAAGCATACGAATGGTAGAAGGAAACAGGTTAGATTGGTGATAAGAAATAATTCAAGAATCATAGAATAATTATTAGGTAAAAAGTCCATGAATGAGACTTAATGGGACTTTAATAACCGGCGGGACGGTGGTAGTGCGATCATACTGCCGAAAATATGATAGTAGCTATTCGTCGAAGCGGGTAATTTTAGCGTTAATGTAAACAAGGGAATTGTGGAGTACTAGTCGTTATAACTTTGTTCATTATGCCAGAGAAGGGCATAAATAGTTCGATATGTATTAGGCTGGCTTATCTAATATGAGGAATGAAGCTATAATTGGGAGAGAGCAAGATCTCAAGGTAATTGAGCTTGTTGACAAGTTGAAATAAGATATTGTTGATATCAAATTCAATTAATGGGGTGTGGAAACTAAAAAGGCTGTCATACCCACAATTAAGAATATCAATTTCAGAGTTTTGAAATATGGTTTATTTTGCACTTTCCATCCCCGTGGAATTATGTAAAAGCCTACATTTATCTACATTTTAGTTATCTAGTAAAAGATGTGCAGACTCACATATATATACTCGGAAACGATTGATCCAATTCGTTTCGTGGAGGACGTGCCGACTGGACATATGTATTTCTGTAACAATAGAAGGAGTATGTTTACGAATTGAACACAAAGTATACTTATCTAGAGTTAGTTGGGCTGTAAATGAATGAAATATTATATGTAAAATTTCACCATTGAAAAAATGTTGTGCACGCCACTGTTTTTTCACTTGTTGCGTTCGAACTCGAATTTCATGAGCATTTCTCTTGCTATTCGCATTGTCTGTTGCCACTGACATTGCGAAAATTTCATTGTCAGGGTTGAGGTTTGCTCCAACAAACGTGTTGTTGCCAGTCGTATAATTACGAGCGTTGATGTTGTTGCATTTCGATTGAGTTCCATTCGAATTAAACGAAAAAAAAGTTGCAGAATCGAATTTTTTCATGCATTTTTAGCGCTCCCGAATTGCGCTTTGTCGCGACATTGGATTGAATTCGCCAGTGCATTTCGTGTCCGCATTCACATTCGCCTTGCACTTGCATTTGGCAGTGATAACTGCGCTTTGCGGTTAAGCGGACGCGTTTTAGAGTTCTCGCACGAATTTTTGCATATAAAAAAGTGATAGAAATTAGTTTACGAAAAAAAAACATTTTTTTTAAGAATTATTAAAAAAATTATCAAACATAAAAAAGAATTAATTTGTTAATTCTTAAGTCATTAAAAAGAATTCGTACTCGATTTGCTGTGGGGAAAAAGGTTCGTACCAGTTTTCACACGACCACTGCTAATTAAAAAAAAAAAGAAAAATTTGGCATGAATTCAATCTTTTGAATAAAAATTTGTTAACAAAATATCTACATCTACATCTATCTACATAAAATTTAATTTATGTAAGGAAATTAGTTTTTTAATATTCGAATGCAGTTGCACTAAAAGTGAATGTAGGATTTTGTGCTATACAAAGTAAATGGAGAAGACAATAAGGAAGTGTTTCACTTAATGGATAGTTAACTCTATTACAAAAAAAAAAAAAAAAAACAACTGAACAAGAGTTAGATAATGAATTTAATTTTGATTTTATCTGGTATATCTTGAATAGATTTTTACTTAATTCATTCATTTATATTTTTTATTTTGATAATTTTAACTTTAGTTAGATAAAAAATATTAAACAGTCGATATTGAAAAAAAAATTCTAGTCATAAGACTGATCTCAATTATAGTTCCTTAAAATTAAATCATAAACAACATAACAAAGTGTTCTCAACATATTTATTAAAAGTGAATTATTTTCTATATTATTTTCTAAATAATATAGCGAACCCAAAAGCGGTTCATATAAACTGCTAAGATAAGAGGATAGCACCCAACAGAAAGATTTTTCGCTTTTAACTATACTTATACTTCACTTGACCTAAATTTGGGACATGATTCAGTGTTGAACCGATATAGCTTTCAACCTGATCAACATTATTTATGGCAAGTTTCATCAAGTGTTGTGACAGTTCCTGAAATAATTGTGAAGTGCTGTGTTTAACCTTAGATGTATTAATAATTAAATAGTCTAACTCATCTTATGTGCTCAATGTTTGCTAAAAAAATATAGCATGTTGGATGAGGATCATGACCTAGCTGTACTTTCGCCCCGATCAGTATTATTTTTGGTAGAAAATCTAAAGACTTATTTGCAGCATTCGTAGGTGTTAATGTTTAAAAGTGGAAAAAAAATTTCATATAAAAATGTGAACCGGAATCCAATGATTCCGGTATTGTGTTACAATACAGCTATACGCAAATTCAGATGGACTGACTTCATATTTGGTTACAGTTAGTATTGGTCTGAATTTAGTCTAAGAATTCTTTTGATTTGAAAGTGTCTGGTAACGGAAGAACTAAACCAATGGTATGAGAACTTTACCCTCAAACTTTGTAAGTAGACGTAAAATCTACATTGCTTCTTAAAAAATTTGTCCAAAATAAATATCACTCTTTTAAAATATGAGAAGTGTGCCTATATATCATCTATGGCAAGCGCCGGCAAGTTTAAGCACTTACCTGTATACATCTGATAAGACAGTAAAAAGCATTTTATATATACAGTAGCCATCTATAGAAAGATTTATCTCTAACTATTGATTCCTTTATATTGTAGAATGTGAAAAATGTCTCTGAATCACAGATTTAAGACCAATATAGCTATAAAATAGAGATAATATTATGTAGTCAGTAGTTTTGTTAATTGTGGTTATAGTATCTGAAACGTTAGTTTATATAGAGATTGTATACTGAATTCAACGGTTGTAATTTAATTTATTGCATACAAAATTTTAACTAACTACGTTCATTAATAATAAAGATTAATTAATTCAGGTTATTCAGTTCATATATTTGTATTATATAGTATGACATATATAGTCATATTCCCAATCGCTTATAGGTCCCTACTATAACCGAAGTCAATATCAGTATTTGTTGAACTTAATGAAAAACAATGTTAGAATAATATTATGAACCCTAACAAAACACTGTAGATTTAAATACTATTACTACTACTTATTGGGAGTTGAATGAAATGAAACCGTCAGCTTTTACTCTGCAGTGATGTGTAAATAAGAGGAACTTTTGGATCACACAACTCCGAAAAAGAGGACAAATACTATTATTTATTTTATTGCTTATTGAGGCTCTATGCTCTCCAATGGGAGATATAGGAACTGATGATGATGATTATTATTTATTGTCGAAATTAGACTTAAAATCGACATAATCTATTTCAAAATCGTAGTGGTGTATAGTAATAATATTAATATTATAATTATAGGTTTTAAGTGTTCGTATTGATATACATATAACACACAGACAGACAGATATATTAACATTAAGATATATAGATAGTTAGGAGGATAGACAGATAGACAGGCGATCAGATATGCCGAAACACAAACAGAAAGATAGATGGACAGATAAACAGCTACACTGAGCAAGAATACCGCGTCTGACAATGTATGTATTGGGACTTGTATAGACAAGATAGAGACACTGATATTAGCTTTACAGTGTCTCAAACACATAACCAAATTTAATATATTTTTCTTATACTATGCGTGTAAAGGCAGAAAAGGAGCATACTTTGTGCAGACCCCTTATGATATTAAAGACTAGGTATGATTTTTTCTTACCCACGTAGTTCATATATATCTTAAAATATTAAGTTTCTTAAAAAATATATAAATAAAGTTTGGTCAGAAAAACAATAAATTATTCGAATATTCAATATATAAAATATAATTACTTTTATTATTTTCAAGATGTTTCCAATTAAATTAGTCCACTAAGGAAAAATAATTTTTAATTTAACATGTAAAAAAAAACAATTTGTGTAATTTGCATGACCAAGGTTCCTTCTCCATCGATATTACAAACTGACGCCCATCGTAAAAACACATTTTCTTCAATTCTTGAAGCAAAAAATTTTGTTCTGAACTTAGTGCATTTCAAGGGAAAACACCCTGTACTTGTATATGAAAAATCTTATTCAGTTTATTTCGTTGTCAGATAGCCCATAGATCATTATCATTATCAGCAATTCATTCGCATTAAATAAAGTACCTTTAACCCATTTCTTCTTGACTGCTCATTGGTTTCATATTTTATTTATAAATGTTTGTGGTGAGAAGAAGGTTAATCTGTTACTGATAAGACAGCTTTTGCACATGTTTTTTCTTACGGAAATATTTTTCTATTTGTAATCAAGACTTAACAGTTGATAGTTGTATCTTTATCGGCAATTCACATGGCAGATGCCTTAACTGCTTTTTCATTGTTTCATAAAATGCACTAAGTTATTATTTAGTTTCAATGCGGAACGAATAGCAGGCGTCAATTAATGATAATAATTTTAAAATAGAATTCAAAGCCATTAAGTAAACATTATTTTCTCTTTATTACTTCATAAAAACATGCACTTTAAAACTATTTGAATTGTTTCTAAAAATAAAAAAAATTGTTTTTCTCAAAATATTGATCAGATCTTTTTTATCTAAGTCTGCCAATTAAGAAGTATAAATATTCCAGAGTCATACCAACAAGTCATATCCGTACATTTTTATGAAATATAATATCTAATAAGATCTAAAATTTTAACCACATAATTCTTCTGCTTTCTGTTGACATACATTAAGACCGAAAAGTTTTCGGAAATTCTCATTTAAAATTCGCGCGCTGTATATTTTTCGATATTTTAAGTTTATGTAGTTTGGCAGAAATTAACCACAATTACTATGCCAAAAATGAGCGCGATCTGTCAGACAGTTCGTTTACGGCAGCTGTTGAAACCAGTTCACCTCAGTAGTGCGTTGCGAAAAAAACAATGGAAAAAAATATTGGACAAAGAGTTTGCATCAAATTTTGTGTTTCGAACGAAATTTCGTGTGCAGAATCGTTGCGAATGCTACAAAAGGCTTATGGGGAATCAGTTTTATCGAAAACTCAAGTTTATGAGTGGTACAAAGCCTTTCAGGACGGTCGTACGACCGTCGAAGACATTTCGCAACGCACTACTGAGGGGAACTGGTTTCAACAGCTGCCGTAAACGAACTGTCTGACAGATCGCGCTCATTTTTGGCATAGTAATTAAGGACAGTGCTGCCAAACTACATAAACTTAAAATATCGAAAAATATACAGCGCGCGAATTTTAAATGAGAATTTCCGAAAACTTTTCAGTCTTAATGTATGTAATAATATTCCAGAGTCATACCAACAAGTCATATCCGTACATTTTTATTTTATGACATTTTTATAATATCTAATAAGATCTAAAATTTTAACCACATAATTCTTCTGCTTTCTGTTGACATATGTAATAATATTCCAGAGTCATACCTACAAGTCATATCCGTACATTTTTATGAAATATAATATCTAATAAGATCTAAAATTTTAACCACATAATTCTTCTGCTTTCTATTGACATATGTAATACTATTCCAGAGTCATACCTACAAGTCATATCCGTACATTTTTATGAAATATAATATCTAATAAGATCTAAAATTTTAACCATATAATTCTTCTGCTTTCTATTGGTTAGAAAATAAAATATTGGCTATAACATCGATGCAGCTCAGTGATTTCATTTGAGAGCTTATAGTCGTATACTGATTAGTTAGTTCAGGTATAGATTGAAAAATTATATCGAATAATTAAAATTCAGATAAAGGTCCGAAATATGTTGGTTTAAAAAGTAACTTCAGAGAACAACTTATTAAAACCCTAAACACTCAGGGTTAATAATCAAGATTAGCTTTATATAGATTTATTACAATTGCCGTGCATCTTGGCTTCTAATAGTAATAGAAAGTTTCAGTTGCATTAAGTTCCGTTGTGCTGTCGTATAATTATTGAAATATCGTTGTTTCCGGCTAAATCAATTGTGGTATTTATCGAACCTTCCAAATCTATTATTATTTTATTTTATTTCATACACCATTAGGAGTCTAAGGACACAACAAATGATTTCCAAGTATCTCTATTTTCCGAAATTTGTCGAGGTTCGTTAAACGATTTGCATGTTTCAGTATTAATTGTTCTTCGCCATATTGTCGTTGGTCTGCCTCTATGCCGGGTTTCCTGGGGATTCCATGTTAGCGCTGCGTACGGGATATCGTCACAAGGTTTACACAGGGTATGGCCTGTCCACCCAAATATTCGCTTTTGAATTTCAACATTAATAGACGTTTGGTTAGTTTTGTCTAGAGTTCTTCATTTGGAGTTTAAGCAGTCGGATGCGTCTCTAAATCTATATTTATCGTTTTTCGATACCTTTGTTGGAGTTTTTGAGTGTTTCTATCTTATTTTACAGTCCAGGCAGTAACAGTTAAGGAACTCAATAGAGCTTTTGTCTGCCACTTACATATCCTAATTCTTGTTAGGATTCCAATAGGTACAGATATATATTTATATATACAATATACGACTTTATTTATCTCTATTACTTTATTTGTACTATGTGAGCCTGAAATAGTGCTCACATTTTACATATGCTATATTAAAAATTAAATCATAACTAAGTTTTTAAATGGAGAAAAAAGCCGATTCTGAAGCCGATTCTGAAACTGAAATGTTTTAGCTGTTGTGAGCAAATTCATTCCACATTTCAGTGAACCTCTATTTCAATATTGGCGCAATCAAAAAACTTTGTCAGTTCGTTGAAAACTCTTGGGTACCTTGTATTTGCAATATCTTTTAATTAAGGGCAGTTTTAAACTATGATTTACTCACTGTGGAATCCGAGATCAGAAGAAAGTAATGCCAATCGAAGATTCACATGTAGGAAAAATATTCTTTCAATGAAACCATTAAGGAGATCATAGGCCTGATCGCCCACATACTTCACGGTTGTGATCTTTTCACGCAGCGCATTGGCAGTTGGAATTATGGGAAAAGATTCAAGTTGAAGACAGATTATAGAAAGAAGAAACTTTTTTTTGTACTACGTTCCGATCAAGTGGGGTCATACCTGCCACGAATTAATAATAATAGCAATAGCTTTTATTCTTTTTTATTTTTTGCTTCAGTTCTGCAATAACGTATCTTAAATACTTTCCCATTTTGTTGAACTCCATCAAGCAATTTATGTCAAGATATATGATTTAAACATTTTAAGTACGTGATAACCACTGCCACATATTAAATATATATGTATATATATTAATATTTATGAATTAGTTTTTAAATTTCAAGTTTGAACTTTTTAAATTTTAAGAGAGAATAGCCTTAAATATTGTACTTAATATGCTAACTATATGAAGCGGTCGAAGGTCATCCCAATTGCAACTAATGTAATTTAATATATATTTAATTAAGTAAGTAATTTCATATGAAATATATCTAATACTTTTTAGAGATAAAATAAAAATATGCATAGCAAAAGTGGAGCGCATGGCTTCACATTTCAGTTTTACTCGCACGACGAGGAAGTATCTTGAACTGCAATAACCGTAAAACTGAAAGTCTGGGCAAACAATAACTTTATTGAACGAAAAAAAAAATAATTGCAAAATTAACACAAATATAAACAAAAATGTAAATATGATAAATTAAAAACGCTTAACAAAATCTGAATTTGTCTGATAAGAAGGTATAGACAGTGACGTACTTGCGACGACCTAGAGACTGCAAGGTTAAACAGTTGTGTTGAGTATAAAAAAACAATGTATTCGGTTTTCGAAAAAGCTATATTGATGTATATGAATACAATCATTTCTAACTCGATCATTGGTATATCTAAAAGTAAAACTATAGGGGAACGCTGCACCCATCCCAGGAGTGGAAGTGAACCTGCGTACACCTACAACCTATGATTCGAAATAAATAAATGCTGCAACAGAAGCTTAACTATTCATTGCGACTAGCCTTTAAAGTAATCATCAAAGTTATTGCAAGCAATACTCGATCCTTTCTCTAAAATCTTCAAAGAGTTTTTAAAGGTCGACTTATATTCCTGCTTCGAGGTCGTCTTTATCAAGCTGTGCGAATTTAAATTTGACAATGAGCGGAAGAGCGAAGATTGGAGTTCTCTCTAAATAGCAAGTATTTTGTATATGACATGACGTCATATACCTTGTGTTAAGCTGATCCCTTGAAAATTGCTGATCTTAACAAAGACCAATTTATATGCGTGGCTTTAAAAAGCCACAGATTGAAGCATTGTTATTTCATGTAAGGCACAATATTCCATAAATAAACAATTAGAAAAGACAAATATTCGTCAGATACAAATATGCAGATGCAATATTTTGCAAAGCCCCTTAATTTACAGTTGAAGCTTTGGCTTTGACTTGCAATACTCAATCAATTCCATGTTATAAAAAAGACTGTTTATATATAGCTTTTAAATCCTTCAAATCACAGTTGTTCCATTTATTCTCGTAATCAAATCCGTGGCTACCGCTATTGACGTCATACAACACGGGATGTTTATGTCCAAAATTCTTTGATTTGAATTAATTTTGTAGCTTTGTATTTGTATCTGAAATAGTTGTTATGTGCCTCTGCATTCTAAACTTATAAACAGAGTAAAAACAGATTGAATAGACTAAATGTTTATCTCCGAATCGGTGCTAAAACGGATTGATGTCGTAATACATTTAAGGCGTATGGTAGCAGATAAAAAAAGTAGAACCACATATAATAATGTTGTAGAAAACGGTTCTGGTAAAAAAAAAATTTTTTGAAGCGAGTTTGACGTGAAGTAAAGTAACTTAGTGAAAATGCTAGGATACCAGCGATTATAAGCTACTATCATCTGTCCCAACAACTGATATAAGTCTCTACATACCTAAGTCTCTAAATTTAATCAGACGTCTGTAACCATTCAATTGCTGATTTAAATTAGCTACAAAAGAAAATTGTGTTCCGTTTTTTAAAATTTAACTGAGGAATACTACAATAAAGAAATAATAGTAATAATACTTGATTTTGGATGATGAATACTTTTTCTCCAATTCATATTCATTATATTCACCACTTCATATTTTTTCATATTTGTAACAAGATTATTGTCAAGTTGGTTCACCTTTACCTGATTGGGGAAGTCGTTGCTTTTCAGCGTTGGTCATTTACAGACCTTTTAGTCTATGTTTCAACCAACCCTATTTCTGTGGTACCACAAAGGGCCCTTATTAGAGTTCAAGTGGACTTTCTTGGACACAAGGCCTCAACTCCAACCTAACATAAGCAAGTAATAATATTACCGTGATTCTTAGTATCCTTATAGTGATTCGCTTTTTGAATTAAAAGATATTAACATTCTTATTACCTATTGTGGTTAGGGTAAGTGTATTTAACCTGTTGTGCTATCTGGGATAGCACTTATAACAGATCTTATAATACTCAGTACATCGATATTCTATTAAAATATAATGTTCTTTCTAAATCAAGAGAAATAAGCATATCAGTTTATATATTGGGAAAGTGAATATATTCTTTATAAAAACTGATTCAAACCTGCCTTCAAACTGAAAGCTGAAGCAGTTATAGCTAGGTACGAAAGTTTTAATGCAGCTATAAAGAAATATGTGGAGATATAATATAATTTAAGACTTACACATTAGGCTCATTCTTTTGTCCATCTATATAAATTCAGATTATTACATTAACGGGGAAATCAATTACTTGAATGGTGAAATTTCTTAAATTCGATATATAAAAAAACATGTTTTCCTGCTTTATAATATATATTTGTTCACTATAATGCAGATTAGTTTATGTTAATGTCGTGGTCGTTTCAGTTGACCAGTTTACTTAAACTCTAATTGCACATTATAATATCAGTTCCTAACGCGAAGGATCTATTTATACTTAACATTGAACGCTTTCTGAAGAAAGCTAAAAGCATTAACACTACAGAACCTCGAACTGCTTCTAACTAGAGCTGGGCATTCACAGACGGAATCTTTCACTATATTCACAAAAACCCATATTGTTAGTGTCACTGCCAACTAAATAAGATCGATCCCCATACGATTACTGTTCATTGTTACATGCGACTTGCTACATTTTTCACTATCTGATATTCATAGGTAACTAATAAAAATTAAAGCTTTGTTTTACGATAAAGATGGTTGACTAATTCTGGTAAGAGACATTGTTGGGGTAATTCTGGTGGCTCAGTTCCTTCGGGAACAATGGTTGTTTTCACTATTTGGAGACCTTTACTGAGTTTTTAGAATTGACGAGTAGAGTAAGTAATATTTTCTCTTTGTAGTTTATTTTTATTTAAATATTTTTAATTTTCTTTCCGATCCCTTTTTGTTTTAAAAAAGAAAAATAGCTGCGCCTCTGTAATAAATGAATTATAAAACCGCATGTTATGAGTTTATTAAAAACTGTATTCGCTGCACGTAAGGTAAATCAAGTGCATATTAAATAATTTATAAAACAACAAAAATGTGGAAAATATTGCTAACAAAAAATGTTCAAAGTATAGCAATTATTTTAGAAATGTACGATAACTAAAACAAAGAAGAGCTCGAATGAATTCCAAAAACAAAAAACTGCGTATCATTATAACTGCGTTTAATACGAGTATAGACAGTATTATGATATATAAATGATATGTTGGAAAGGTGCGAAAACGTTTCCTTTTATTAAGTCAACCTAGGCCATGAAAAAGCTAAAGAGATTTGTGCCTATAATGCGATATAATTAACTTTAATTATGTTCGGTATCATGAAGTAAAAAGTTTTCTGAAGAAAAGATACTTCATATACCAACAACCTTTTTGCCCAAATTCGACAACGTTGTTTTCTCCAAGAATAATAAAATCATTCCAGCGCTTCTCTAACATTGTAATACCTCTCTTGTAGAATTTTTGACCTTAAAATAAATAAGATAAAGTAATGGAATCAGTATACTTATCTCATAAACTTATTCATCCATTTTCGAATGAATATATACACAAAATGTAGATCAAAGCAATATATATATTTATCAACTTTTGTCATATTAACAATTGTATTTGTTTTTTAAAGATGTTCTCCAAAATCACACTACTCAGTTTGATCGCACTACTTGTACCTGAGTTAGTCTTGGGTTACAATATCCTATTTATGGGTCCATTTCCGGCACCAAGTCACTGGATGTGGCTAGAACATTTTCAACGTGATCTACTCAAACGTGGCCATCATGTTACCTCAGTGAATAATCATCCCACTAAACATCCGCATGCAAATTTGACAGAACTTATACTGGATCCAAAATTTGATATACCTTACTATCGTAAGTAAAAGCGTTTATCTATTTCAAATTATATTATATATCATCAACCTTCTCACTATATATATCAGTGCCCAAGGAAAACATTTTTAAAATGCGTTTCTCCAGCGATTTTGAGAATATGCAGATGTGGTGGCATATTGGTTTGCTGACCAGTGAACACGCACTAAACGATGCAAAAGTGAAGGCGTTAATAGCAAGTAATGACCAAAAATTTGATTTGGTCATATTGGAACAATTCTTTCATGAGAGCTTCCTAATGTTCGCACACAAATTCAATTGTCCTCTGGTAACTATTGGTACAATGGGCTATGCTGACAATATGGATCATGCCATGGGTCTGGTGACACCTTGGTCTGTAATACCGCACCTACTGCTTTCACACACAGATCATATGACTTTCCTGCAGCGAACTTATAATGTGTATCTTTCGATTTATGATAACATCATGCGTAGTTGGTTTTATATACCCAAAATGCAGGAAATGGCAGAGAAACACTTTGGAAAACATATTGCAGGTAGGTAGTATTTACATGGGTTTATACATAATATAAAAATCCCAACTATTGTTCAATTAATAATAAATTTACGATTTCCTGTGTCAGGTCCATTGCCCTCATTGCGTGATTTGGAGAAGAATATTTCACTCATGTTAATAAACAGTCATCGCAGTACTGACTTACCACGACCTAGCATGCCGGGGCTTCTAGATGTAGGTGGTGCCCACATTCAGCCAGTCAAACCCTTACCACATGACTTACAGGTAAATAAAATATCAACAGTAAAACACTGGTTAGGATAGTTTGAACAGTCATGAAACTTTGCGAACCGTAGGCTTAATTTAATATTAACCGATTTTTAATAAAACACTCTGCCAGACGATCGAATAATAATCAAAAAAAAACTTATGGAAACTAATTCATCCATTTACTTAAGCAAAGGTAAGATTTTGCTTGGTTTATTCTGTGTTACCTAACTGATATTCGAGACCTGTGCTGTCATCTGAAAATAATAATTTTCGATGAAGCATACCATTTCTGTTCAGATGGAATAATAAGGATCTCCTGTCAATTGTTTCTTGTCGTATGTGTACTTTTTAAAAATTATGTGGATAATCAGTTAACAAACTGACCACGTAATCTAAAACTCTTGAATAAAACATGTTCCGGCTTTTATTAAATAGGTGGACGATTTGCTAGTCTGGTGTGGCTTTATGCTTGTTGTACAAATAATAATTTTCAGTAGGTTAAGGTGTATAAAATTTTGGCAACGGGATCTGGATTAAAATTCATTTAAGGTTAGGTTTGAAAATAGTCTTTAAAAATATTTGATGACTTTGTCTCAGAAAGTTGCAACTTCTTAAAATCGCAAAACTGTTTAGAGGTTTCCTTTTTCTGATATGGCTAGTGAAATAGGTCTATATAACCAACAAAATCATCCTAACCAAATATAAATTTCTTTATTGTTGATGCATACCTATATTAAGTTTTTACCATTCTCTTTTTCAGCAATTTTTGGATAGTTCTACAAATGGCGTGGTTTACTTCAGTTTGGGTTCGTATGTCAAGAGCACCGATGTGCCACAGGAAAAAATTAATTTGATATTGCAAGCATTCAGTAAATTGAAACAGAATGTTTTATGGAAATACGAAAACGAATCTATCGGTCATTTGCCCACCAATGTGATGATCAAAAAATGGATGCCTCAGAATGATATATTAGCACATCGCAATGTTAAGGTCTTCATAACTCATGGTGGATTGTTTGGCACACAAGAAGGTATTTTCCATGCCATACCAATGCTTTGTATACCATTGTATGGTGATCAACATCGTAATACTGTGAAGTCTGTGCGTGGCGGATATGCACGCTCTCTGGTGTTCGCTGATATGACAACAGAAGATTTGGTCTATAATATACAATTACTCATACATGATCCAAAATATAAGCGCAAAGCTTTAGAGGTATCAGCAATATTCAAAGATAATCCAATGCATCCACTTGATGAGGCTTCCTTCTGGATTGAGTACATCATGCGTCACAAGGGTGCACCATATTTGAAGTCGTATGGAGCATCCATGCCACTTTACCAGTATTTGTTGCTGGATGTACTGACTTGTGCGTTGTTTGCCATCTATATGACTGTGTGGGTTCCAATAAAGTTGATCCACGCTATTAGACGTTATTTCGCGAGTACCGCCAAAGCAACAATGGTGTGTGATGAAAAGAAGCGGAGTTGAATTCGCTTTATTTTTGTTGTAGTTGTTGAATTGCTGTTTCCTAATTTTAAAAAATTATTAGTATTACTTGTTAAAAACGCAATAAATTGAGTTTTGTTACTGAAGTTGTATTGTTTTTTTGCCACAATTATAAGTAAATCTCATACAGAAGGAATTTTTGAAAGTGGCGCTGGGCTGCTTATTAAACATTATCGGCGTCTTACTGTAGGGTTCCGAATTTTCATACACGAGTATAATATACATTAAATTCCAATTTTTTCAATATACAGTTCTTGAGAGTAATTATTTGTGAACTAGGTTTTCTGGTATGCTTTAAACAATTTTTTTTTTAGTTTTTTTTTACCATATTGACAGTTTCTTATGACTCTTTTAATCAGTATCTCAGTGACACATCTGTTAAGTTACAAATATCTATAACACTGATTTTAGTGCTGTATAATGTACATATATGAAGCACTATTTTTATGCCCATGTGCTTTAAAAATAATAAAAATATAAATTTTTGTATATAATTAATGATTAGATAGTAACATAAGTGATTATGAAGTTTAATTAACAGTTGAAGAAAACTCAGAAATTCGACACATTCAGTATATTGAGAAGTACTCTCAGTGCTTTGTTTAAATCCGCATGTATTAATTAATATTAAAAAAATACTAATATTACTAAACTTAAATTTAAGTAGAATTTTTTGTGGGATTTTTATAATTTTTAGTTTCAAAAGTTGTATTTATCGTTATTTATTTATTACTAACATATTTTTTTTTAAAATGATAAATCATTCATATATTTTAGCAGAAAATAAAAAATTTGAAAAAAATTATTATGTTGAAGCAATTTTGAGCTAGTGCACTTAAGCACTTATACTCTTTTTTAGCACGAGGTTTCTTCAAAACCCCTCTCTACACCTTGACTAGATTATTGTTTATCACTTCATCAGACTAAGCAATAATTGCCCTCAGATCTGCATACCTCCCCGAGGAACCTGTAACCATTTTAAGATTTGATAACGCGGTGTTGGTAAGTCTGTCAGTTTTCGCAAATAATTTCAGGGTTCTATCCTTTATGTATTTTTTGATGGGATCAGTCTTGATGTCCCTGAGGATGTCATTCGTCCTAATATACCATGGAACTTTGAAAAGTCTTCTCAGAGCCTGGCTTTGTGCAATTTCTAGCTGGTGAATAGTAGTGTTTGAAGCTTTGCTAAACGCTACACAACCATATAGAAGTGACGGACGAATTATTTGGTTATATATCAGTTTCCTGTTACTAGGCAACTGTTATTTTTTTATTAATCGTGCCGTATCTTTAATCATAAGCAACATTATTTGATTAGATATAGTGCGTCTTCACAGAATAATTTATCAAGTGCCTAAAAGTATGCTACACTATTTTCAGCATTAATCCCACACTTCACAGCAAATAATTTAAAGCACAAAAAAGCTTTTAAAAGTTTATAGTCAGATCTTCAGTTGAAATGAGTGATGGCTATTTTTTTGATTAGCATTAATTAGTAAATAATTCTCCAATTAAGATATTAACATAATAATTTGAAAATGCCAATAGGCTTATTTATTCTAAATTTATGTCTGCTAACCACGATAATGACCATCTTAATAGAGTAAAAATCCTAATTGAGCTTCACGCGAATATAAAATATTTTATTAGTTGATTGATCTAACGTACCCAAAATTATTCCCAATACATTTCAAAAACTGATTTAGAAATTATAAACCATTAAAAATAAATTGTTTAAACTAAAGTCAGAAAACGTAAGAAATAACACTTGGAACGAATTACTTCACTGTCTGGATATCTTTCCCTTTTTGAAGTTAGTTAGGAAATGAAAGAGGAAAAGGACAATTATTAAGTCAAATACTGGATCCATATAAAAAACACTTATGTCCATCTGCATAATCGATTCATCCTCAATATTTTTGATGATGTTCATGCTGCTTTACCACTGAACAGTAGTTATAGGATCCCAGTTACGAATATGGAATATACTTGCATGATTTGATACTGGAAGTGAAATTCTTTCTTATATGTGTGATTATCTTTTAAATAACCATATTCTTTTGAGTTTCAAATTGGTATCATCCAAGTTTTTTGAAAGAACTCGAAACTATTCCTATTCCTATTCGAATATTCATTTACATCATATCCATTAATTATCTTGAGAGTGAATTAAAGGAAGAAATATTAAGTCCAATGAATTCCAAA